AACCCCGTGCTCAAAAATTTAACAACATTTTTTTAAGTAATTAATTTTTTTCTCAGCCAAATAACGTCAGTAAGCCGAAAAAACTTCAGGACATATACTTCGAAGTATCCTCTACAAACTGGCAACGCTAGAGAAAAATCTAAAGGGCCCCCCCCCTTAAGGGTATCCCTCTTCTCTTTTTGGGCTTTCCGTAGAAATGCTGTGAAATAAAGACTAAAAGTCGCTACGGCTTCGTATTTTCAGAATTGATTGGAAACTCAATGGAGCACTTTTCGTTTTTGTTTCAAGTTTTCAGCTATTGTCGTTCATCAGTTTTTCATTGTGCCACATTATGATCCCCCTTAAATTTTGTCCGATCGAGTTCAAAATTTTACCACAGGTACTCAAGGTCATTCCGCAGAGGTAATTTTGAGAAATTTTTTTGAGACCTTTCCTGGTCGAGTTATAGAAAAATACTGGAAAACGTCTCGAAAACCAAGTTTTTCAATTTTAGAAACCCTATAAGTCGATAAAATTTAAAGGAATGCCTCTGCAATAGTGTCTTGAGTACTACCTCTGGTAAAATTTTGAACTCGATCGGATGAATGTGGCACAATGAAACCTGGTAGTAAAAATATAGTTTTCGAGAAGAAACGCATTTGTACATAGGTCACTTTTTTCAGAGCATTTGCCGCGATGCTTCTCCGTGAAAACTCATCGGAAAATTCTGTAAAACGTCTCATTATGAAGAAAACACTTACTTCTATCAGACTATGTGTAAGAAAAATTTTGCATGTACAGAAAATAAGAGAAAAGTTTATGAAACTAAAAAATAAAGTCTTTTTAGTTCTGATGGAAACACTTCAAAAATCCGTAACTTTTTGAAGAAAGGTTGTGAAGTACTGGGAGTGGTCTTATTTTGTAGCCCACACTTTCCTCTGGATTAGGCTATGCTCAGCTCAAAATCCGAAATTTTTACAAAAAGGAGGGAGGATACCCTTAAGGGAGTAAAGTACAAATAAAAACGATTTTATTGAACGAACGACAGAAAAGTACTAAATACACACATATATATGCTGCAGTAGACATTAAAATTTTAACCATCGCTTTGGTTTTGCTTATGGAAAGGTAGCCTCAAGTCTTGGACATCGAATGGTGAAAACCGTAAATCTTTGTCTTTTAGTGACCTGGACTTGAACTTATCGCTATATTTTGATCGAATAGACTTTTGAATTCGTAGTCACTGTTCATAATCTACATCTGATGTCTATAAACATTTTGCTCTTTTCAGAAAGCTCTAAAGCCGGATAATTGAGTTTTTCTGCTTATGAATATGCCGAGTTTAATTTCCACTACGAAAAATTAAAATTTTAATGTCTACTGCAACATATATATGTGTATATTTAGTACTTTTCTATCTAGATAAAATCATGCTATTTTTGCTCCATCACTTTCTGGAAGATAGTTTTATAAGTTTTTCGCCACAATTACAGCCCACCTCTGACCAAAAGACAAGGAAAATCCCTAATAAGGTAATGAATGGGCGTTCATCGACGAAACTTCATCAACTAATTGCTAAAACTATTTATTTTACTGTCACTTGTGTTCAACAATAGTGTAAATATGTCCCTAATATTTCCTAATGGGCTGTAGAGCAATGAAGACAGGTAGCAAAATACAACGTATGAAATTACTTGACGTAGATTTATCTCATTGTTATTTGCTTATATGTTGCAAATTTTATTACGATATGACTAGATGGACACTCCAACATTCTAATCAATATTGAAATTTTACTATTTATGCCATTATAATACATCGAACAAATGTGTAATACATTTCTATTATTTATACATTGTTATATTTATATGTTCCAACATATCATATATATTGTTGTGTTTTATGTGGCAATATTTATGCAGCTGTTATCGAATAAAACTGCCGTGTATGGGACATTACTTTAAAGTGGAGACAAGTATGGTTGTATATATATACTGCAGGAGAAATGAAAATCTAGTAGAATGTAAAATTCTGCTAGTAGAATTTTTAATTTTTCCTAGTGGAAATTAAAATTAATATATTCACAAACGCGATAACTCCGTATCGGGCTCTAGAATTCCAATTTTACTTTTTTTTTTAAAGCGCACGATGTTTATGGACATCAAATGTAAGTATTCACCAGCTGCAGTTAACTGTAACTGTAGAGCTGTAAAACTGGTACATTAAAAAACTCTCATGTCTCGTCTTCATAAGAAAACTAGCGATATATGACGGTATTTAAGAATATCACCATATACCACCTCCAGTTTTCTTAAGAGAAACGAGACATGAGTGTCACGGTTAAAGCTGCTACAGTTAACAACTGGTACATTTGATAATCGAAACTGATCATAACTGTGAGAAAAAATGTATGCGAGAGACAGAACATTGAAAAAGAAAATCCATATATTACTACGAATCTAAAAACCGCAATTTCTGTGCAGAATTTGACCCGTAAACGTTTTATGACCTGTACCTGAACTTACGGCTATATTTTGATCGAATAGAGAGACTTTTGGATTCGTAGTCACTGTTCATAATCTACATTTGATGTCTATAAACATAGTGTTCTTTTCAGAAAACTAAAATTTCAGCCGGCATGGACGAGTCCCGAGTCCGGTAATCTTTTAGATTCTTTTTTGATGAGTATGATTGATTTCTTTTTTAATGTACTGAGCCCTGGATAGATATTTGATTTTTCGTAAAGGTTACTTTGCATGCACCCCTCGCGAAAAAACAAAAAAAATTTTCAACTTCTTGTGAAACAGGTGTCGCTATTTTGGTTTTCATTCTGTTCATTTGTGTTAAAAGTTGAATAGATCGGACTCGAAATACAAAAACTCGAGTCTGAGTCCTTCAAAAAAATCTTCACTCCGAGTCCGCCAAAAGATCTTCTAGTTCGGAGTCGTCCATGTCTGAATTTGAGCTCTAAGGCCGGATAATTGACTTTTCCTGTTTGTGAATATGCTGAATTTAATTTCCACTGGGATAAATTTTATTATTTATGCTATTATATAATACATCGAACAAATGTTTAATAACATTTCTATTATAGTGTTAGATTCGTCAAGTAACTAAGACAACTTGAAATATTATTTCATTAACAATTATTATTTTTAGAACAATCAAGGCATCAGATGGCTGATAAATTTCTGCTGTGCTGTATCCGTTATGATCAATAGCTTTTCAATCGTACTATACATTCTATTATCGTTTCTTATAGTGAACTGTATGTATATCGAATACTCCAGTGACTGTGAAGAATTGAGAATTACCTGAGACGTTTACTCGTCAATATAGCGATTTTATGCTATCACTCCTTTTAGACATCAAAAGAATATGTTCTATTTTTATTCTCATAGTTTAACTGCTGTTTTTTTTTATTATATATTTGTTCATAAAAGAAAGAAAACAAAAAAACCTAAATCATCTTATTGAAAATATTCAATAATCTCAATTTGTTCAATATTCTTCACCTTCGCCTTCACCTTCACCCTAAAACAAAACAAAAAAATATTAGCACCACAATCAACAACTGGTAACATCCCATGAAAACGATCTGGACAAAAACTGAGACTATCAGCTTTTAACGAACTGGACTTGAACTTAAAAGTCTATGACTAGTTGTTCACAAAAAATTTAAAAGTTTTTCCCATTTTTGCTCGGTTTTTTATTTTTCGACTTTTCTGAACTGCACAGCATTAAGAATCAAAGTTCATCAGTTTTTCTATACTAGGCCCAACAGAATTTTTCTGAATGAACTACACTCGATTCAGAAAATTGATAAATTGGACTCAACTTTGGTCGCTCGGAGTTCTATTTCTATTTTTCATCTTTTTCAAGTTTTGACAATAAAAATGATTCAACTTACTTCAACACTGTCTACTCCAACTTCTTCGTAATCTTTTTCTAATGCAGCCAAATCTTCACGTGCTTCACTAAATTCACCTTCTTCCATACCTTCACCGACGTACCAGTGAACAAAGGCACGTTTAGCATACATCAAATCAAATTTGTGATCAAGACGAGCCCATGCTTCTACAAAATATAAATAATAGTCAATATATAAATGTAAGAGACTTTTGGTTACAAGAGTTTACCTGCAATAGCAGTTGTATTTGACAACATACAAACAGCTCGTTGCACTTTAGCCAGATCACCACCTGGCACAACTGTTGGCGGTTGATAGTTAATTCCAACTTTAAAACCTGTTGGACACCAATCGACAAACTGAATTGTTCGTTTTGTTTTTATTGTTGCTATTGCTGCATTTACATCTTTTGGCACAACATCACCACGATATAATAAACAACAGGCCATATATTTACCGTGTCTTGGATCACATTTGACCATTTGATTCGCTGGTTCAAAAACAGCTGAAAATCACAAAAAAAAAAACATGTGATTAATTTGATTGACATTTTTTAAATCAAGAGAAAAACTTACCATTTGTAATTTCAGCAACTGTTAGTTGTTCATGATATGCTTTTTCTGCTGAAATAATTGGAGCATAGGTTGCTAAGGGAAAATGAATTCGAGGATATGGTACCAAATTTGTCTGAAATTCTGTGAGATCAACATTTAATGCACCATCAAAACGAAGCGATGCTGTGATAGAACTGACAACTTGAGCAATGAGACGGTTCAAATTAGTATACGTTGGTCGTTCAATATCTAAAGAGAAAAAATTTGTTTCTAATTTCATGTTTTCAATACTATTAGTGCGAATATTCTTTGAAATCGAAAAAAAAACAAAATAGTCTACATTCAATTAGCGATCTGACCAGTTAAAAAAAGTTCATCAGACGTCTGATCACTAGGGGTGTCACCTTACTATTCGTTACCAAGTGATAAATAATAAAATGTATTAGTTATTACTAAGAAACAAGTAATAAATCTTATTATGTTATTACTTTTTTTAAGTAATAATCTTTTATTACTTGACTTATTACTAATAAGAAGAAAAGCAATAGGTAAAATAATGAAAACTTTTTTTCTATAATGAAGTAATACGTAATAAAACAACAAGATTTATTATCTTTTTACTGGTAATACGTAACAAATGCTTATTATCTTTATCGAATAATGTAATAATTAAGAATAAGTACTACTGATCACCATTTTTTTTTCTATCAAATTTTTCAACCAAAAACCTAAACGTTTATCCACAGTTCTATTCTAGTGATCATTTTGCTTACCCAAATTTCTTCTACATATATCGTACATGGCTTCATTGTCAACCATGAAAGCACAATCTGAATGTTCCAATGTTGTGTGTGTTGTCAAAATGGAATTGTATGGTTCAACTACGGCTGTAGATATTTGTGGTGCCGGATAGACAGCGAATTCCAATTTTGACTTTTTTCCATAATCAACACTCAAACGTTCCATTAACAATGATGTAAAACCAGAACCAGTGCCACCTGTGCTGACGCTTAAAAAAAGTCCATGTGAAGTACACATAATTGCAGGACGAGAGTGAGAATCTATTAACATTTCGATATGAATCATTTCCTTTCTGATGACGAAAGCCTTAATCACCATCTCAAAATTTTCTATCATCCTCATGAATAAAAGATCAAAAGTTCGAAAAGTATGAAATATTTTCAACACAACACATGATTTTGTGAGAAAAAGAAAGCCTCAGTGGAGTGTGTTTGATCAAATTTTATTTCGTTCACGAGTCTAGATCACCCTTGTCACTCGTTTTCTGGGACGCATCAACTCCTCCACTTCTCAATATTAGATTTATTTTTTTCTTGTGTTCAATAAATTTTATTTGTGCTCAGTAGTCTCCTCCTTCCACCGCGTTCGATCTGTTATTACAACTCAATCACATCGATTTTTAATTGCAAGACTCTCATTCTCGAAGTTTAACTCGCGCATGAAAGGCAACACTTACCACCAAATGAGTGAAATATAAGAAAGCCCTGAAGTCCGGTACATTGATCTGCCAATTTACGAATACGATCTAGAACGAGGTCAGCAATTTCTTTTCCAATTGTATAATGTCCACGTGCATAATTATTAGCTATAAAAGATGAAATAGAATTAATTCAATTAAAATCTTAATTAATTTCAATATTTAAACACTTACCAGCATCTTCTTTTCCTGTGATCAATTGTTCTGGATGAAATAATTGACGATACGTGCCCGTTCTTACTTCATCAATAACAGTCGGTTCCAAGTCGACAAACACGGCACGTGGAACATGTTTTCCAGCACCAGTTTCACTAAAGAAGGTATTGAAAGAATCGTCTCCACCACCGATTGTTTTATCTGATGGCATTTGACCATCGGGTTGAATTCCATGCTCTAAACAATACAATTCCCAACATGCATTTCCAATTTGAACTCCGGCTTGACCACTAAAAATCAATTAAACAATAAAATAAATAAAATTATCTAATAAGAATTTTATTTTAATACTTACACGTGGATTGATATACATTCTCGCATATTTGATATCTCTAAAAAAATGATAGAAAACTAAATTTAATATTGTAAAATAATCAAAATGACTGAATATTCCATTGAAATTCAATAATCACTCATTTTCTGGGTCATGTCATATTACAGATGTGTTTCAAACAGTATTAAAAGGTCATACACGGTATACTAGACTATCATATTCTTTCAAATCGTTCTCAATAAGAAATAAATTTCTCTCAAGGCTCCTCAGCTAAATAACACAAAGCTTTATGATATGATTGACACTTACTTTTTAAATTAAATGTTCGAAAAACAAAAAATAAAAACGATGTTTGTTGCAAAAAATAATAATATAGAATAAACTGTTCGTCTTGACTTTACAGTTGCTGCTTTAGTATGATGAATGACTTTATGTTACAAAATGAATATAAACTGCCTGAGTTATAGGCAATACATGGAGAGAAAAAAGAAGAAGAAGAAGAAGAAAAGAGAAACATCGACGATGTTTCATCACACAACCTAGACTACGCTTTGTGACTTACTACGCACATCTTTAATCGACAAGAACATGAAACATTATTTTACTTTCTTGTTTATATTCTTGTAAGATTCTTGTTTTATACCATTTTAATCAAGAATCTTTGCAAATATTACAAATATAATTTTATGTACAAACTTCTTCGAGGGAAAAATTTGTATCTTGTTATGTCAGCCAAGAATGATGAAACTGATTTTGAATCAATTACAAGACAAAAATGTCCACTAAGAATCCTGTCATAAATTTTCCCTTGTACATCTTTACAAGAATCTTGCAGATGATAAAATACTACGTATAAAAATTCAGTTTTAGGTTTTTTGTTTTGTTATTTACATTTAAATAACAGTTACTTTAATTAAATTTATCTTGAGATATCTTGTCTGATTTATTCAGGTCAATATGACCATTCTTGGCTGAAATAGCAGAAAACAGGAATCTTGCAAGACTATCGACAAGAAAGTAAATTAGCGAAGATTTGATGAATAAAAGACCGAAAGAGAAAAAAAATACAGAAAATCAAAAATAAAAGAGTGGTCTTCGAGATATGCACATAGACTACGATAGATACGTTATGTAAATTGGTAACAAAGAAAGGATAAAGAAAAACATGAGAATTGAATGATAATGTTTTTTTTTTCTGCGTAACTACACACTACGCCATATTGTGATAGTAATTATGAGTCAATGTGTCCTAAAATGTTGAAATAATCTTTTCTTGAACTCTGATTTTACGACGAAAATCTCATAGCAAACAATTCTCTCGTTACTATGACATTATTCTCATACTGGTTAACCACTTTGTGCTTTGTTGTCACCTCATACTTGAATGTGTTTCACTTTATTTCAAAAGTAACAAACATATACATTAAAGAGAAATAAAACTAGTGGCAAAGACAACGAACAAGTGTAAAGGAGTTTTCCGGATCCAGCAATTATCTGATTTTTATTACTCATCATTCGAAAAATATTTGGATCGCACAGATCATCTGAGAGTATAAAAACTAGAAAAACGGAGATGCGGGTGAGATGATTCTCAGCTATTTTTGTCGTAGGATGAATTGGATTAGAATATAACCAAGCGTAAAGAGCTTTTCCTCGTTATTTCTTTTTGAGATTTTCGAAATAAAACAGGATCTTCTTCCCAGGTCAAAGATTCAGGACTGTATACTATAGTATTTCATCGTATTTTGACGTAAACCCGGCCAACGTATGGTAATTATGGACCTAGGTTGTTGAACAATCTATTTTTGTTGGCGCTACGCAATGCATTTTAATGTAGTAGATGATGTGACAGTCCATAATACGAGTTGTGGCTGACAAAGCCTCGCGCGTATTCTGAAAGATCTTGAAATCTTCTACCAAAAAATGTAGAAATCATATTTTGGGAACAAAAGAATGGCTAAAAAGAAGGTTCTTGTTTAAATCGATGTTAGGGATTCATAGCTGTTAAACAGGATATGTATTTCATGGCTTTGAACTCAGAAAATCTTTTTGTTTATCAATAGTCCTGGTAACGTTCTGCACTCATATGTACATGAGAGCTGGTACAAATCTGTTTCACCCTAAATACCAATATTCAGAACAAAAAACAATATGCGAACTTTACAAACAAGAGTATAATGAAAAAAATAGTAAATTAAATGTTATATATAACACGCGATGTTGTCTAAGATCGTTTTTATTAGGGAGATCGTTATAACGGCGTGAAAAAACAAGATTTTTCTGTTATACATTTCTCTCTCTTTCTATGAAGAAAAAAAGGACAAAAATGAGAAGACGCGAAAACAAAAACATCTCGGAAAATATACACAACAGATCAGAATATGAATACTTATATTTCTATACTTTTGGTACTTTTTAAGTAGTTTTATTACTTCTATACGTAGCTCAAAGATGATGTGTCAATGTGCGAACATCTACGTGTGAATACGTCTTGTTGCAATTTGTTACTAAACATTATTAAAGAATTATTTATTCAGTGGAATTGTAGTCTCATCGGTATGCAGTGTTCCCTAATAGTTTACTTATAAGTGCGAAATTTGATAAGTACACCTGTTTGTGGTATAAGTTTTTTATCACTTATCCTACATGTATTAACCTTGATATTTGTGAAAAGATATATAAATTCTACTTACTCGAAAAGTTCCAACAGTTGTGAAAAAAGATAAAGTGTGGACAGAAGTTTTATATCTACTGTTAAGAATCGTGACAAAAACTTAAAGAAATAATTCAATGAATCCCACAGAATTTTTCGACATCGCCCTATCATTAGCATTGTATTAATACAAATAGTGATTTTACTGATATCACTGAACTACTAGACAAATTTAAAAATTATTTAGCTACTATAATTGCCAGTCTATGACTACGAACCTTTTCATATTGCTTCATCAAGAACGAGTAATAATATTAAACAAATCGACAAATCTAATTTTACTGCAGTACTAAACATTCCCACAGAAAATCGTTTATACACGGAATATTAACCAGCGTGTAATACTCAAAAATGACTTTAATCAATGCGCCTGCTTGGCTCAGTGGCAGAGCGTCGCTCTCGTAAAGCGAAGGTCACAGGTTCGATCCCTGTAGTAGGCAATAAACTTTTTTGTTTTTTTCTTTAACAGACATGATTCTGTTCGTGAGAATATTACAGAACATATGTTGCTATATAGATACGGAAATTGATTCCCTTTTTCCTCAAATCGATTTTCGTTTAAAAGATATACATTTATTTTCGATATAAGGTGGAAAGATCAAAGCACTCATTTGCTTCATGAGTATGAAAAAATAGCCAGTGAAAAACTGAATAAAATACTCTATAAACAATCCTTATACATCATTTCAATTATTTTTACAAGAGACAAATTGACCTAAAAGACGGTATCAGCGGTGTTTTGAGTACTTTTTTCTCTATATGTAAACGAGGATGCAACTTGTATTTGGTATAGAAAAATAGCCCTTGATCTATTCTAGTGATCATAGTTTCCCGTTTTTTCTCCGATAAGCAAGAGAGGGTCCAACTCGTCTTTAGTGTAGAAAAATATCTCCTGAAAAGCTCTGCAGTATTTTGAGTAAACAAACTCTGCATTCCATTGGTTCAATCATTATAACTCAAATACGAGAAAAATCAAGGAAATGTACTGATATTTTGCAGTTTTCACATCAAATTTCAATTTTTTCTGAAAACCAACATCACATTTGGAATCACTGTGAAAAACTGCATTGAACAATCTTTGTTTCGGAATTTTCAGACAACTTTGATTTTTCAGCAAAAATCTCTGTCGAAAAATTCGAAAAAAATCAAAGTTGTCAAAAAATTCCGAAACAAAGACTGTTCAATGTAGTTTTTCGCAGTGATTCCAAATGTGATGTTGGTTTTCAGAAAAAATTGAAATTTGATGTGAAAACTGCAAAATATCAGTACATTTCCTTGATTTTTCTCGTATTTGAGTTATAATGGATTGAACCAATGGTATATAGAGTTTGTTTACTCAAAATATTGCAGAGCTTTTCAAGAGGTATTTTTCTACACTAAAGACGAGTTGGACCCTCTCTTGCTTATTGGAGAAACTATGCTCACCCAATCATGGTCACTTGATAGGAGATGCTTGAAAATTCTTAGTAATATGGTACGCAACTATGGTTCACATACCATTTTATTTAGTTTTTCATTGGCTACTTTTCTATATCAGATACAAATTGGATCCTCGTTTGTATATGATGTCCCAATGATGTGCAATTCACATGAGAAATAGAGCAAAGAATCCTCTACAAAATGACCTAATTTTTAATTTGTTTGCTTAAAATTCCCCGTTGAAACAAAGTTTTTTAAGTTCATTCCAGCCATTTTCGCTGTGCTGATCATAATTACGTCATCGGTATACGTTGACTGATCATAATTACCCCAAATGGGGTAATTATGCTCAGTCGATGGACAACAATCTCGAAAGAAAGTCCATAGAATTCTGATGAAAATTTCACCTTTTTTGACTATTCACAAGAAGTAGAGAAATGGAGAGAGAAAGAGAAGAATACTGAATGTATTTAGAGGTTAGAAGTGTTACACTGTTGAACTGTTGGCCTGAAAAGATCCGAAAGTTCAATTGGTCTTGTAACTTTCCCCAAGTAGCTAGGTCCTATTGATGGCTCAAGTGTACCTCTGAGCCTTCCTTGCTCCAGTCAGTGTTTTTAACCGAATTTATCCGCTGAGTGTATAAGTACGCTCTGTTTTTTCTCGCAAAGCCGAGACGTTTGAAATCTAAACAGAAAGTATCAATTTAGGCATCAGAAATTAGAGGAAAATTAAAAAAGAGAAAATTCAACTGCTCGCCTGTCTTTTATTATATTGCTGGGTTGCTGAGAAACGATCATTTAAAATTTCGACCAACTCTTGAAAAATGCAACATCTCTCATATTGATAACTTTGTGTTGCTCATATCTCGGCAATCATACAAGATAAAGAGCTCAAATTTTTTACGTAAACAGAGCTAACATTTTTCTTCGATTTACAACAAACCCAACTTGCAACAGTCTATGGCGAATGTTATTTTTTAATGCAAGTGTTTTACGTAAAAAATTTGAGCTCTTTATCTTGTATGATTGCCGAGATATGAGCAACACAAAGTTGTCAATATGAGAGATGTTGCATTTTTCAAAAGTTGGTGGAAATTTTAAATGATCGTTTCTCAGCAACCCAGCAATATTTTTTCAAACGGGAAGCGCCATTTTACTCAGAAATGTCTATATTTTCTTTTATGACTGGTTCGAACGAGTTCTGTGAGATACGATTGAGCATTGTCGATCGTGGCTTATGTGAAATGGCTCTTAAGAGAATATAAGAAAAAAGTTTTTTAACTGTGTCTAAGTGAGTAGTTAGATAGGAAATTGACACTTTTTTCTTACTGTACAAGATCAGTGATGTTTTTCTCCATTAGTAATTGTCTGTGTCTGCAAAGTTGCTTTCTAGAAAAAAATCTATATATAGAAAGTTTCTACTTTTTTCCTCTAATTCCTGATGCTTCCTTTTTTAGATCTGAAACGTGTAGGCTTTGCGAAAAAAATAGAGCGTACGCATACGTATTGGTTGGAAAAATAGGTGTACTCGTTCGCTGAGCGGTTAAATTCTGTTAGAAACACTATATGAGCTTAATAAAAGAAAAAGAGCAGTCTGTAAAGCAAAAGAGGCAAAATGAGTAGCGTGGTTGCTTTTAATTAGAACAGAAATACTCGACGAGCGTAATATTTTCTTCATCCTGATCTTATTCTTGAGCTTTTTCCAAAAACGTTTTCACCATTGTGTGGCTGAGAGTCTCAGGAATCGAATGAAATCAAAAAATTTTAGTTTAGCATTCAAAATGAGTGAGTTCTTGTCTGTATAACACACCGCACTTCATTCATGCAACATGTGTATTTGAATAGACGTGTTCTAATTAAAAGCGTATATTCAGTGGTTCTGTTCTAAATAAATACGGTATTTAACAAGAACAGAAATGAAGTGCGGTGTGTTATAGGGAAAGACTTTGAAAAAGACTTTCATTGTGAAATGATGCAGTTAGGTCCAAGAAGCGAAATCCTTCGTTAATTTGATCTCGAGTTCTCCGATAAAAAAAGCGCCTTGAATGTGCTTCGTAAAAACAAGTTGAAAGATTCTCTAAAATGTCTGATCTCAATAGCTTTCGATTAGTGAAGACCTCAAGCATCTACCACTTTTCTGTCAAACGTTATTCAAAAAACATCCGAGTCCATTTTTTTTTTACCCACAATAGTCTTTTGATTGTTTTGCTGTGAAACTGTGAACTTTATATCTGTTGCTTCAAAGTCAGATATCGTTGAGTGAGTGACATTGTTGGCGTTGGGGGTGACATTGTTGTGGCTATGCACATACTGATTACGACGAAAATATTTACATCAATGTCATACTTGATTGATAAAGCGTCAGCGTCAATGTGTCATGATGCTAGCGGCTTATGATTCAAATATAAAATTGAAAAGTTTTTATAACTTGAACATTGTATTGTTCATTCCTCAGTAGCGTAAACTTCGTTCGTTTTATGCTTCGAAATGTTTTTTAATTTTTTTAACACTAGAGGGCAAAATAGTGGATAAATGTTTCATTGGTGATCAAGGAGCAGAGTAATAATAAATACTATGGTAGATCAGAGTAAATTAAAGAACAACAGCATGCAATATTCCGACAACGCTCATACTATTTTCGTTATTGTTGAACAAAAGCTGAATTTGATTGCAATTTTCTCAGAAAAATTGTGCTTTCGTTTAGCGCGGTGAGTTCTCGCAACAGTTTGAGAATTAGCCCAGCATTCGTATTTTGACCTTTTAATTAGAATCGCAGAAGGTAAAATCTATCGTATAAGCATTATACTCAATTGTTCGAATAAGATATGTGTAGTAGGAACTTCGAGAGAGTAAGATAAATACGATGTCACTATCACTTTCACTGTTTTTGATTAAAAAAAACGAAAAATATTTTACACCGCGGAAACAGAAGAATCCACTTCGCTTTCCATTGTGGCTTTAAAATTCCACTTTGTTTCTAATTGGGAAACATATCACCGTGACGTGGAAATAAAGTCCATGGAGAGTAGGTGGCAAGTATATTTTCGGATTCAACACAGCTGATAGTTTACGAATTCTTAATTTTGACGAGGTCGAGAAAATTTTCTGAATAAAATGCGTAAAATATTATCCACAGGAAAATAGCGTTTGTTTTAAAAATTTTCTGGAACTGTTGACAATACGTCGAGCTAAAAATGATAGTTCCAACTAGGTTGTCGACCATGCTAACTCCAAAAATTCATTTGTCATCTATTCTGAATGAACTGTTTTTCATGTGAGTGATATACTAAAAGAAAACTATTTTTACTTTTTGTTTTATTTTACTGGTTTTAGTGTTTTCTACCGTGTGTTCCAGAGTAAATGATATTGTTAGTATTTAGCATATATTTCAGTCTCTGATTTGAACTAAGCTTTGGTCTTTCTTTTAAAGCATTCGTCGTGAAGTTCTGTACAAGATTTCTATTGAACATTTTGCAAAATATAAATTTAGAGTAGTATATCGTTTATCCGCCGTATACCCAAATTCTTCCACTTTCTAACCAAAAAAGTAGATTTTTTCAAAGTTCTCCAAATTGCGCGCTGACGTTATACAATTGTTCCTATACATTTCGAGGTACTTTGGAGTGTTCTCTTTCTTCGTAAATACATAATTTTGGTCGTAAATGTTGAATGTGATACTTATTTTGAATAAAGTACCTATAAAAAGGAAAATCTTTTGTTTCATCGAATGTTTACAGTTTCTGCTGGGTAAACTAATATTTGCTCTGAAAAACCCTTTCATCTCTTGTCTTGGAGAAACAGCAGGAAGAAAACAACATATACTTTGTCCGTGGTTTTTTGATAGAAATTTCTGATCGATTTCCAGTCATAATAATTATTAAATATCGAAATTATTACAGAATTCAGTATCTTTGCATTGTCGATAGATGGATTTAGACTTAAGAAAACCACATTATTATTTGTTGCTGTTTTTTATTCGCAGATAAATGGTTAACAGGAAAACAAAGATAGTTTGGTTGTATTCTCCTTCATTCTTTGTATATTGTCACTTTTTGTTTATTTTTTGTTCAATACTTTTTTGTAACAGAAAAGTTTACTGTATAACTATAGTGTGCATTTTGATTAAAAAATCTTTGTTTGACCTGAAAAAAAATTTTCTGCTTAAACTTGATTATTCAAGTTTAAAGACTAGTTAATGATCATGATGAAAAATGCTTTACTCTGAAAACAACAAAGCACCAGTTCTAAAATCGAGCAACGTCAGAAAACTCTCTTATGTGTGGCCCACAGTTTAATATTATTTATCATCTGATAGCTGTTAATTTGGAGAACTAGATATTGTCTGTCTAAAGGAATGTTCGAGGAAGAAGCGTTTGAGGAAAATGAAAAACAATATTTTTGACGTAACAAGTGATGCCGTTCAGAATAAAAGTAGCATTTGAGACAACGCATTAAGCGCTGTCTGTTGTATTTATGTGTCCACGAATTGTCGATATACGCAACCGATTCAGATCATTGAAAACCTATATGCGGTGAATACTGATGAAATCTGCTGAACATATATGAGGTGAAGGCTGATAACAGTGAGAATCTTTTCGGAAAAAAACAAATTTTATGCGTTCTCACTCGGATCCCTATGAAAAACCTCAATAAACATATAAAATTGAATTGCATATTTCTGTCAGTTTGTAACGCTTTGTTTCTTCTATCTAACAATATAAAATCAAAAAGATTTAGTAAAAAAATTAAATTTGTATGAGAGGGTTCCTCCTTAAGAGCAACATATTCTTATTGCTGAAGAAACCTAATTTGTTTTTTAATAAAATAAATTTACTAGATCAATATATTTGCATTTACACGACTATTATCATGGATTATCAATTGATTGATAATTTGCTTCAGAAAGCTCGAGAAAAACGTCGATAAAGATATACAAAGCATGCTGAATCTTATCAACGAAATAAACAAATAGGTCAATCAATGTTACAATGCGTTTACCAACAGCTGCCGTTGGACAGAAATGAAGCATCAAATGTTATTGATCAAATACCTGATGTCAATCAGTCGTCCAGTTATGATGACTACGAAGAAGGTGTCAATAATTTAGGTGTAGTTAGTGACATTAATGGTAATGAGTCTGAAGACGATGAGCCTTATTGAAGATCAGCCGGAATTCATATCATTAGACGAGGATTACAGAGAAGGTATGACGATAGAACAATCTGGCGTTAATTTACATAGCTATCGAAGTAATGAAGATGATAGTAAAATGGTTGTAGATCCACCACGTTTACATCATTATACAAATGTTCGTACCCACGACGCAATAGACACATTATTATGTTGGTTACGTGCTTCAAAAGTGTGTAAATTCCATGATGATGGAATTGTAAAAATTATCAGAAGCTGGCTACCAGTCCCAAATAACTTACCGTCAACGTTGGAAGGATTATTATCCTCGTCGAATGTTTTAAATAATTTCAATAAACGAACAATTTGTACTTTATGCAATACAGTATTTCTTAATTCAGCCAAAAAATGTTCGAAGTGTCCAAATGCTGAAAATAAAGATGTTGCATTAATTTATGATGCTAATTTTGTTGTTAACATCAATCCTTCAACGGTTATCAAATGATATTAACGAATACAAACAAGTAATTAATAGTGGTAATAGTGGTGGATTAAGTGATATTCCATTTGGTCATACATATCAAGAATTATTAAAAAAATTCTCCTCACAAAATTTACTTAGTTTCATTCTGCATTTGGATGATATAGGTTTATGTAAATCGACCAAATTAAAAATGTGGTTGTTAAGTACTTCTATTATTGAACTACCACCACGATTACGTTATCGTCGACATAATATGCTAGTTGTATCAATATGGATTGGACACAAAGGTCCAAATATTCGCATGTGGTTGGGTAATAGCTTCAGAATGCTTTTAAATTTGAAAAAGCAGCAAGTTTATGTAAATCCATCAACGTCCTTTAATATAAAATATTATGGTGTAATTTTGGTGATTGTCCAGCATTAAAATTAATTTTGAATTTTATTGGACATATTGGTTATTACTGTTGTTTCTTTTGTTTTACACAAGGTTATAATATCCCTGGACGTAACAAACGACAGTATCCGTATGAAAAACCATTGAATCTTCGTGATTCAAAAACGTTTACATCAAATTCCAAAAAAGCTGAATCCGATAGCAAAAATGTATTTGGTCATTTGAGGAAAAGTATTTTGGAACTTATACTTGATGTTCCACTTTCAACATCAATTTTAATCGATTTTCAACATGTTACATTATTACGTCATTTTCGAGGTGCTGTGACACAAATAAGCATTTTGTTAACACCGGCTTTACGTAAACAAGTTGATTATGAATAAGAACACAACCATTGCCACATTTCTTCAATAGAAAGATGCGTGGTATTGAAGATTTTTTATATATCAAAGCAACAGAATTACGTAATTTATTATTGTATGGATTTTTACCACGTTTTTATTCAATATTGGAAATTGATCGAGTTGCGCATATGGCTCTTTCTATCTGTGGTATTCGTTTAATTCATAGTCATCCCACATTCGGCCAACGAACAAGTGCTATCGCAAATGAACTTTTAACAATATTCTATCGTTACCATTCTAAGTTCTTTGAACATTTACAAAATTTTGTTCTTCACTTACATGCACATTATGCGGAGATGTTTGATTTAAATGGTGCATTATGTTACGTTAACACATTTACACAAGAAGATCTTATTGGTTATGTTGCATCAAATAAACATGGCACTCGTTATTTTGGTGATCTTATTGTTTATTATTATAATATTGATATAGCCTTAAGCAATTCAACCGATCGTCAAAATACATCACCAGATGGACCACATGATCCATGTACTGATGTTGAAAGTTATGAAATCGATGCTTTGCAAACATATCATCGGCGTGTTTGTAATTGTACATTAATTCGTCGATGTATTTGTACATATCGCCGATGTATTTTGAATCAACAAATGTTTCACTCAACATTTTATCAGAGATGTACAACGTCAATAAGTTATTTTGTTCAATTACCTGATGATTCTGCAACAAACAATAAGTTTATGTTTGGCCGAATTCAAGTATTTTTCAAACATAAAGAAGAAACATATGCACTCATTCAAAAATTTTCACAAAAAAGTTTGTTTAGTGATTATTTTAAAAATTCCCAATATTATGAACTATTACGTGAACCATTAGATACATTTTTCTTTGTATTAGAAAAATGTCCGTGTCTCACAAATATATGCATTTCCATAAAAAGAATTTTAAAACATTGTATTGTTTTCGACTTGAAAAATGAACTCGTTGTTACACCAGTTTCTTCCTATGACGAGCATGACTGAGTATTAAAGAAAGTTTGAACTGCTAAGCGAAGCAGTATAAAACTGAATGTTTCAGCTGCTAAGTTAATGCACATGAGAAATTATAGTCTGAACTGCTAAGTGAATGCAGTTCAAAAGTTAAATATTCAGTTACTAAGTCCACGTAGCTGAAATTTCTGTTCATTCTTGTCGATAGACGCTATTGCAATTCAATACATAATCTAAACATGAATTATTCCGAACTCCTAAAAGTACGTTTAAATTTTCCAATGTTGAGAATTTCAACCTAAGTTTGAATAATGTTTGTTTCCTTGATCATTTTCCATGATGTTTATTTTCTTTGTAGATTATTACATCTTTTCTTATTCAATGGCTTCAAAAACAACAGAAAAAAAAGAAAAACCGACAGTTGGTATGTTGGATATTGAAACTATTATCTTATCCAGCTTAAAATATTTTATTCATTATTTATTTCAGAAACCAGTCAGACTGGCACAATTGTGTGATCCAAACCGAGAAAATTTGGTTTTATTAAATGGTAAGTTGGTAATGATAGCAGCTAAACGAAAAGAAACACATATAACTCACGCATCTGTTAAGGAATACTGAAAATGACCAAAGACAACAACAAAAGCAACAATTATTTTTTCATCACTCCAGTTTTCATCGAAAGACTAAACAAGATTTGTTACAAAAGTCTGATAAAGTAACGTTTGATGTTGCTCAAGGTATATAGTGAAAACTGATTTTTAATAATGTATTTCCAAAACATAGTAGATTCGTTATTACTTGTTTTATTGTAGGCGAAAGAGGTTTAGAAGCTATCAATGTTGAATGTGACGCACAACAACGTCAAATCCACAATCACCATCATCATCGTCATCGTCCATACCATAATCGAAATGCTAATTCGTTTATTAATTCTAAGCAGGCACAATTGTTTCAACAGACTTTGTAAGGTTACACGCTAGTATAGGTTTATTGCCTATGTACTTGCTACTAATATATACCTTCTAACAATGGGTTTTTTCCGATATTTTTAGATTAACACTTTTCAACGCTACATGTTCAAAACAAGACGGAGAGACAAAAAGCACTAAAAGAAAATGCTAATGCTTGTTAATATTTTTTTATTGAATAAAATAGCTTCTGGCTTTCTTGACAATTTTTTTTCTTTGTTAGTAAATCTGATATCTTACAAAGGTACACCCTGCTGCAAGTGATAGGGTTAAAGTATATCGAGTAGGATACTTCTATCGAGATGAGATTTCTGCTGAAATTTGTAAAAAAACTTGAAATATTTTGAGATCTACACTACGTCGTATAACGATAGTGTCATACTGTAATTTGACTAAAAAGAATGATCAACTGATTCATAAAATAGGTGACTTCTATATAGTGTGCATTCGACTGTGTGAAGGAAGGTTCATTGGAGAGTTTCTCAATTTCGTTATTTTTACACGATGGGAAGTTATTTTTATTTCATAGTTGTCCATTATGGCTGATAATAATGAAAGATTAACACAAAGTGGTTGTTGTGTTAATACGCCAAATATATTTACACCACCTGAACCATCAACGAAGAAGAAACCATCGACATCGTCATCCTGAACAATAACAACACAAGCACATGAAGAAAATTCATATTTAGTTTGGATTGGTAGTTTAAAAAAGCATACAATATTAAAAAATAGTGAACTACAATCAATAAATCAAGATAAAACACAAGTAAAATGTATCATTAATCAACAACGCTTAGTTGACAATGTAAAATATTATGGTAAGAATACTATTTATTTCTAAAAGTATCAATCGATAAAAAGGTATCTGCAGAAGTATTCCTAATTGCTATAAGTAAAGCAAAGCAAAAGATGAAAAGAATTAATTAGATCTGCTCTAATCAATAAAAGCCAAACAAATGTATGTCAAGTGTCAATAGGTTTTCACAGGAATATATGTTGTCGTAGTGAACTGGAAGATGTTTTGAATGTTGACCGTGCACCCGTATTACGTAATCTCAGCGTATTTTTCATGTTAAAAGCAATGAAGTTGACATCTACTTCAATCGTTTTTTAGGTGTTGATGTATCAAGTCTAAATGATAATATTGATGTTGATGGATACGAGAAGAAGAAGAATTTGATGACGGTAATATATTTTCATAACAAATCAACGTTCAGAACCGAGACACCTTTCATTTTGTAGAGAAATGTTTAATCTACTGAAGTATCTAGTTGTCATTTACGATTAGTTTGTAGCTTTATTGCAATAACTTTTCGAAAAAGAGCAAAAAATGGAAGCCGTTAGCTGGACAAGCCGACCAGTTAATCGTAATTTAAATTATAATTATTTTCCAGTTCCTTCTCGTCAATATCCGTTACTTGTTAATTCACCGAGTAACTCTCCTTTGTGTCGACCTCGAGAAGACTCCGATAATGATGATCATACTAAAGATTTTGATAATGATCCAACGGTTCGGACGGTGGAATATCGGAAGTCAAAACGGGACAGATTTCCTAATAATGGCAATGCGAGTAATTATCGACAAAAGTCGATTGGTGTCAATGTGTTGAGTAATCAACAAAAAAATCGCTCTGATCTCGTTCGTTCATCTTGTTCACCTCAATCGAAATTGTCTCAACATTCGCAGTATAACGCTCAACAGTGAAAATTTCAAATTTCGCTCAAACTCGTTATGCATTCCCCGTTTGTTATTCGATTTGCAACTGGACAAATTAGGGACCAACAAGCGGCAAAGGAATTAACGAATCATATGAAAAGTGGATCGATTCATACGAAAACACAGCAAAAAGTGTTGCCAAATGGCAACATCAGAAGGATTGTATAACGCGTCAGATGTATCAAATAATGCGTTTATGGATGTGTTAGCTTACAAAAAATGTTTGCCCGGGTTCATTGTGGTGACGCGCATAATTCAAATGATCCGAAATGTCGTGGAGTTAAAACGTTTAGGGCTGATCTAACGAGAAAATTATGGTGAGATTCTCGTTCATCGTCATCGTCTAGCGTCCAGCATTAGTCAATTATCCATCGCTTTGTCCTGCTCAATTCCCGTTGGTTGTGACTATAGCGAATAACACGATTCTATCAACATTATCCCTTTGGTGCTCGGGCCCGCATATCTAAGGGCTGAAGTTTAAGTGACAACTTCTTCTTAGCCATGACAAATTCATCCGATGGAGCAAACATTTCTGAACAAAATGAGAGGTCTCCGAGTTCTCCACGACGATTAGTCATCGAGCTGCACTCAATTTACTAAAGGACCCAAACACTGTAAAATCATTGAAATTTTCAAAAATGGTTCTACGAAAGATGCGCACGGAAACTTCCGCACAGCAAATCTTGCGCACCGGTAGGTTGTGAACGCAATAACAAATTCTTATTTTATATTCATATTTATTACAAAATTCTAATACGTTTAATACTGAATCGATTTTGCCTCCTCTAGCTATACCTCCTGACTATACTAACTAAAGTCCTATTTAGTTAGTAACCGAAGTCTGCCGCAACTCGTTGTTGATTTTGTCCGGATGTAAGAATCAGCGAAACACTTATCGCGTCAACGGTGACTGTGCACTCGTAGCGTATGCTATAGGAATGAAGGATACATTTAGCGACGATAAATCAAAAGCGTGTTTTTGTCCTCCATCATATGGGCACTACTGTGAGTATTTCAGTGATCAGATAACTGTCATAACAAATGTGGAGGATCGAACGTCAACATCGATGAACAAACATACGATTACGCTTAAAATCATAGCTGTATTTCTTGTCCATGAAACAATAATTGATCAACATGAATTTCATTACACACCAGCGCTCAATGACTTTGATCAAAAACACCAGTTCTAATTCGTTTATCCACGACCGCGATACTTATCAAATCAAGCTTATCATAGAATTCGCTTTGAACCATTTGTTCCACATATATATTCGACTATTGAGTTACTTGAATCTGGGAATACCCAGTAAAATTTGATTTTTTGCCAACCTATAGCCTTGCGGAACGCCTGGTCTATGACAACAAGAACCAAACTTGTGTAATGATAAACCCGTGCTTGAACGACGGAAAATGCCTTCTGTTAATGAATTCAAACGATACAAATTCATATTTTTGTTTATGTAGTTGAACATGCATGGTCGAAGGGAAAGAGAAGGGAAAGCAAGACAGTTTCGCTATGTCTCAATGAGGACGATGCTTTGTTCAACAGCCTTCTTGAGGACGATTAAGCTCTGCATTTTTTGGACGTTGAGTTTTACATGAGGTGGACTCTAGAAAACCGTTCAGAACTCAAAAAGTAAAAGTCCTCAAAGGCTCAAAATTTGGATTTATTGGCTTTCACACATGCTGAACAAGAGGGGACCAGTCAGACGTAAATCTGACACATCGACTGACCATGGTCTTATGGTAATCTGTCGTTTTTCTGATGCAGTGACTCCTAAATCACCCTTTACTTTTGATTTATGCTTTTGACTTTCATTTCGAAATAAAAAAAGAATGGACAAGCATTATATTATGTCGGTGGTTTAGACGTCAGACTGTTTACATTGTAATTGTTATTTCATCATGAAGAACTTGTCGAGTCATTGGAGGTATGTGTCTTGTCTAGCGACGCTGTATAGTGCATGATATAGAAAAGAGAAATAAATGAGTAAAATTTTTTCTTTTTTCTACTTATTTTTCTTTCATCTTTTTGCATTTATTGAATAGGAAAACTGATTAATATCGAAGTATAATATGTATGAACCTGTCAGCAATTTTCTGTCTCTTTCAAGCTCAGAAAGAGAGAGAAATTGCTGACAAGTGTATACATATTATACTTGAAGTATAATACTTCGATATTAATCCTTCGTTATGTTATAGATCAGATTGGATTGATACAGATCAATATATGCATCACTCTGACAACTACACGTTTACAAAAAAACGACATCATGCATTTATGACTATCCAAACACTGACTGGGGCGCTTTTCGAACCTCATTGAATAATATTGACTGGTCTGTTTTATTACTGACGAAATAGATCTGAATACTGCTGTTCCGATTATTCAAGATAAAATAATGCATATTGCATAGTCTGTTATAGAGCACAAGATTATGACTCTAAAATTGACCGATAATCTTTGGTCTAGAGACAAATTGAAATAACCTTTTGTTCAATAAAACAGGAATGTACACGATATATTGTCGATAGTAACATACTAATATTCAATAGAGATATTTAGAAGCTGTATATTTGTTTAAACGTGAATGTGAAGCGGCTACAGTGCATTGTTATGGTCGTATGACTATAGGGGTGAACAATTCTTCAAAAAAATGGCGAAATTTAGGCAAAAGTACTTTAATAAGGGGTAAAGCTAATCTTATACATCCACTAATAAACCAAACAAATGATAAAACGGTTCTAATTTTGTCCACGAAGGGTAATTTATTCAATGGATATTTTGCCGATGTGTGAATTTTTGGATTTTGAAAACGTTTTTGATAGCGTATAAATCAAGGATTTCTATGACTGCTTTGATTCACAACGGCAAAGTTATCGATAATTCTGGATTTTTCCTCATCTTTGGAAACAAGCAATAATTCGAGCTATTCATAAAAAGGAAAGGAAACTTTTTGTTAAAAATTATCGGCCCATTTCGCTTCTGTCTAACGTGTGTGAAGTTTTCGAAAAAATTGTCCAAAAACAACTTTTCTCTTCTGTAACGTTGACGAACTTCTTTCCCCCTAATCGATTTGACTTTCGTCCAAATGCATCGACGGAAGATGCGCTATTTTTCGTCACAGATACAATCTATAAATAATGTGAATCATATCGATTCACTAAGTCCATTGACTTACCTCAAAGTCTAGGTTCCTGTTCTCTATCAGGAAAGTCTAGGTTCCTTGTTCTCTACCTGTTTGCAAATGATCTTCTTTGTCTAGCCGATCCAGACAAGGCACAAGTGTGCACAGATGAGGTTCTAGCTTGGTGTGAAACGAATTTTGTCACTTCAAACGTTTCAAAATGTGAATGAATGTTGTTTTTTACTGTATCTAACAATGTCTTTAAAGATGAATGATCATATAATTCAGCGTGCTTCTTTTCTTAAACTTCTTGGCATTAGATTGACGCATGATCTATCGTGGAAATGTCATATCGACAATGTAGCCTCAGATTGTCGAAAAATGCTTGGTTCTATTTCCTTTGTGTTCCGCGGTTCTCCTAATTTTCTTCGTCGTCATCTTTATAAATCCTGCATACGTCCAACTTTGGAGTACTGCTGCATTCTATATGATACGTCTTACATTTCTCATCTCTCTGTATTAGATAACGTGCAAAAGTTGGTCTGTAGAATAATTCTTATAGATTATGACAGTCGTCCCTCGCAACTTCTCACTCAACTAAATTTAGCACCGCTCTCCGCTCGAAGAAAATATTTTTGTCTTGCTTATTTTCGTAAACTATACAATGGGAGAAGTGCTTTGTCTTCTAGAAACCTAATTACTCCGCCAACAAATTGACGGTCGTCCAGAATAACGCATGATAAACAAATTCAAAAACCTTACTATTTCCTAAAGTCTGCTTCGGGGTAATTTTTTCCTCGTACCACTGACGACTGGAATGTGCTACCATGCACCGTTGTGAATCAAACCAGTCATAGAAATCCTTGATTTATACGCTATCAAAAACGTTTTCAAAATCCAAAAATTCACACATCGGCAAAATATCCATTG